TAAAGACCTCGTAGAGCCTTATCATCCTAACAGAGCAGTTCGCTCTCAGAGTGCAGGTTTACTTGTGGTTCCTAGAGTCCACAGAAGCAGAATGGGAGGCAGAGCCTTTAGCTATCAAGCTCCTCTCCTATGGAACCAACTCCCAGTCTCAGTTCGGGAGGCGGACACCCTCTCTACCTTTAAGATTAGACTTAAGACGTTCCTTTTTGATAAAGCTTATAGTTATGGTGGATCAGGTGACCCTGAGCCTTCCCTTATGCCTCAAGAAAAACGTTGCTAACAACACGAGCTGCTCGAAAGGGGCGTCTGATCGGCCAGTTCGACTTAGCTATCTAAGTTTCCTACACAGGATGCTAAACCAGGCCGAGCAACAGTACAGCACCGTGAATGGCTGACTTTTATAAAACCTAACTTCTTTGTTCATTTTTACAAACTCACCGCTAAAGACAAACGAAGCGGCGGCGTCCCTGAACGTCGTAACCCGGATGTACACAAGTCACCAGTTCGCGGGTCAAAGCTTCTTCTTCCGGTCAACAGAGCAGCAAATAATCACGAGAGGAGATAAAATACCACAACTGTCTTATTTCCCCATCAGGTAACTCCACACAGGTTCATAGCAACTGTTCAAATTGTACTTTACAGCTCAGAGAGAAACGTTGCTTTCTGTTTAGTTCAACGTTATCCGGTAAGCTTTGCGTTCAGACTGAAACACAAACGGAACACTAGATACCAATAACATTACTAAATGGAGCCGATCGGCTCCATTTAGTAATTCTAAGATTAATCACCGATTAATCTTAGAATTACTAAAGAAAGTTTGTGCGAAAACTATCAGCTGCTCTGAAAAATTAGTCCGCATTAATTCAGTCTAAACAGCGGTGTAACACAATAATCTGTCCCCCGGACACCTGCAGCCTCAGTGCTTTCAGTGTTGTCGATCTAATCAGTTTTTATTGTTGCACAAGATCAGAGTCGTGCTCTCCATCTTAGAAATAATTGTTGTAAGACGGTACATTCTTGAATCGTTGAACACTGTAATGACACTCACCAGCAGTGAACATTATCTGTTGTATAATATCCACAGAGACTAATGATGATGAAAAAGTACCACAAACGAGTGGCTGTTGATAAAAGTAACACAGGTTCAGCCCACAGCTGTGATACCAAGAAAGTATAATAATCTTTTCATTTTATCCGCTTTTCGGGCAAAAACAACGTTACAAAAATAGCAGGACATGAGTAGAAAACCAAAATAATATAAAACCTGTTAAAAAGAAACGCGATATAGTAAAGGCTGGTACAGTAAAATGTTAGTACTGCAACAAAATGTTTAGTAAAATTGTTGATCCAAAACCTGGTTTTAATGTTTGCCCCAATGCATAACATAGCTTTTAAAAAGTCACTAAAGTCAGGTCGACTGCGTAAATCTGGGTCATGATCCACCACCTGCAGCTGGTCCCTCTCACTTCCGTTCACATCAGCTTTGTACAGTTATATTAGCAGTGTAGCTTGGTGGCAGTTGATTTGTGTTGGCTCTGATGTTTGATATTTTTGTGTCTATGATAAAAAGAAACCGAATCAGAAAATGTTGAGGAGGAAACCGACTCGTCTGGAGCTGAAGATTGACGACACAGAAGAGTTTGAGAGCGTCAAGAAGGAGCTTGAGGTCTAAGTCTGCACTCTATCAACTACCTTAAAATCAGTAATGTCAGTAGCTGCAGTATCAGTCATTGTTGTCAACAGGTACAGCTTCCCCATGAGAATTCCCTGGGCTGTTGTAGTGATTGGAGCAGAAAATAATTTTTAAACTCAAAATAAAGATCTCACTTTACATGAGAACATTTCTGTGAGTTAATACAAAACCAAAATGATCAAGTTTTTTGTTTGTTTCTTTTTAGGCCAGGAAGCGTCAGCGAGAAGAGACAGAGTCAGGAGGTGGGGTGGGCGGGGCTTCTGTCATTGGCGTCGACATAATCAGGGGCGGGGCCTCAGCATCCTCCACAGCAGCAACAAGGGCGGAGCTCATCAATGAGCGAATTGGGTACAAGCCCCACCCCAAGCCGGCCACACTGCCGACTTTATTTGGAAGTTTGCAATTTTAACCCTAATAAAAATATTTGGATTGGATTAAAAATTCCTGATTAGAGAAAAAAATAAAAACGGACAAAAGGAGAAACAGAAATATATCACAAAACCAAAATACATTAGTTGCTTAAACAAAATATTAATGGTAAAGTTGATCAACATGGAGTAATTTTTAAATCTGTGCCTTTATTAATTTGTCATTTTAAAGAGTGGTCCACTCTGAAATAATCAAATTGTGAAAACATTTTTATTTCGTAAAATATTGTTGTTTCAAATCGAGTTGGAAGCAACAAAACTACCAGCGCTACACAGCAACCACCACACTGACAGAAAACACAACACACTCTGAGAGGATAATTCTAAGATTGCTACAGAAGGGCTTACGATCAGTTTCTTCATTTAAACCTGGCAATATTAAAGCATCAATTTAAAAAAAACCAATAAAGTTTTTTTTTCTGGTGGTTTGTTCAATAACTTTGATCCCTTCCACCCTCAAAGTCTCATTGCATGAGTGCTGTTCAGCAAAATGTCCTACCATAGAACAATCATGGCATATTTATGGTGACTCATTCTGTCTTTCATATCAAAACATTTGTGAGGAGACGTTTATTGGTTTACTGGCTACCATGTTAGCATCCACTTAAGGTGGCTAGTCCTCCTGGAGTCTGATTAAAGCAAGTTATGGAAAAACATGCACAAGTTAAGTCATTAATTCAATACACAAATCAAAAATGGTTATTCAATTTATATATAACCTTCACAAGCCAAAAATAACTAATTTCACATCCTAACAAATAGGAAAAGTAATAAAATCCTATTCCATTTGAAAAAAAAATGGAGCAGCAATTTGGATAAAACTAATATAAAATATATTTCATTGTCTCTTATCAGGTTACAAATATGATTTAACATCAGTTTCATTCTATGTTGGGGCAGTGTCAACAAGTGGTACTCAAATATTTACATAGTCATTTTAACCATTCGTTTCCCCTTCTAGCTGGCAAATAACTATGAAACAAGCTTCTCTTTCAAATCAAATCAAATTTTATTTGTATAGCGCCAAATCACAACAAAGGTCATCTCAGGACACTTTACGAAGTAAGGTCTAGACCTTACTGTTATCAATATTATTACATAGGGAAAACCCAACAAATCCCCCTTGAGCAAGCACTTGGCGACAGTGGGGAGGAAAAACTCCCTTTAACGGAAGAGTCCTGGTCAGGTTGATGTGGCTGGTGACTGCTAGTCAGAAACGTAGAGCTCCAGAGCCAGGGCTACCTGGAGAAAGGTACAGGGAGACAGAGAGAAGACACACTACGGGAGAGAGGAGACACATAGTTAGTGGCAGGTAGTGGTGGCATATAGATGGATGGGGAGAATGGGGAGGTAAGGACAGGAGAGGAAAAAAACAAAGCATCATGGGGCCCCTCAGCAGTCTAGACCTATAGCAGCATAACTAAGGGAAGGCTCAGGGTCACCTGAACCACCCTAGCTATAAGATTTATCAAAAAGGAAAGTCTTAAGTCTAATCTTAAAGGTAGAGAGGGTGTCCGCCTCCTGAACTGAGACTGGGAGTTGGTTCCATAGGAGAGGAGCTTGATAGCTAAAGGCCAAATGCATGGACCAGTTTTTCAGCATCACTTTGAGACAGGATGCTCCTGATTTTTGCAATATTGTGCAGGTGAAAGAAGGCAGTTCTAGAGACTTGGTTTATGTGTGATTTAAAGGACATATTCTGATCAAAGATGACTCACAGGTTCCTCACAGTAGTACTGGAGGCAAGGGCTATGTCATCTAGAGTAACTATATGATTAGACAGCAGATTTCTAAGGTTTTCAGGCCCAAGCACAATAACTTCAGTTTTGTCAGAGTTTAGAAGTAAGAAGTTGCAGGTCATCCAGGCCTTTATGTCTTTAAGACATGCTTGAAGTTTGACCAGCTGACCTGATTCATTTGGCTTCATAGATAAATATAACTGAGTATCATCTGCATAGCAATGGAAATTTATGTTGTGCTTCCTGATAATATTGCCTAAAGAGAGCATGTATAAAGTGAAGAGAACTGGACCTAACACAGAGCCCTGTGGAACGCCGTGACTAACTTCAGTTTGTGTGGAACATTCGTCATTAACATGAACAAATTGAAATCTTTCTGGTGCTGCTGCACTTTTATTTTTTGAGGTTAAATAAAAAATTTCCCTTAGTATGTCATCAATCTTAAATATGTCCCAACTAGATTAGTTTTAAAACCCCAGTTTTATCTAGTCTAATCAATTAAATTGAATGATATTTTACACTGGTTGCACCTGTTTGTGTAACGCACCACCACACATGTACCATGCCTACTCCCTAGTTTTTGGTTTTCCGGAGCAGTTGACTGTGCTCTGTTTAAAGCTGTGCCCAACTGGTCTATGAAATACATCCAAGAATCACTGACTCATCTATTGAGATAGTCTATAACACTGTGGTTCCAAATCACAAATCCTTCAAACCCATAGCAATTCTCCATGTGATGTTTATTTAAATGTTAAAGATGGAAAGAATCAATGTAATAAATCAACATTTTTACAATATAGGTGGTATTGTAGACCCATCTCCCTAATAACGTTTCCAATCCAAAAAACAGATTTATCTGTAGCATTCCCTAATTCATTTCACATTACTAATCCTACTGTTCACTTCCCTAGGCTGCTAGAAAACAGGAAAACTAGAATTATAGCTTCCAGTGTCATATGCCTCCACCAACCAGTCAAATTTATGTGACTGGGATCAGATACGAGGTCACAGTGACCTCTTGTAAGATTTGATTCTTATAGGCTCTAGTTACTTTATAAGCTTTAGCTACTTTTCATAGCATTAGTTCCCTTTACTTACTTTTTAGTTCTTCATTGTCTTTTAGTTACTTTTCATACCTTTACTTTCCTTGCTTATACATGTTAAAACTGTATTGATGATTGTCCAGAACTACTGAGCTTTGGTTACTTTAATATTTATTTTCCTTGCATATATATCTTCCAATTGTATTGATGAGAGTCAAGTGATACTGAAGTAGAAATTGACTACTTTAACTTCTGTGTAGACATAGTGTCTGTATTCATGAGGTCCTGCTTTGTCCTGTAATAGGATTACACAGATAGGGGGTCTACAGCACAGATGACCCATTGTTCAGTTGCTGCCTGGAAAATCACATCACAACACACACACACCTGTTTTGATCACATTTCAGCAAGCAGGAGTTAACAGAAGTTGACCTACTCGCGCCAAATGACCAATAGGATTACGACGTGTTGAGTATAGTACCTCTGTCCAGGGTGGAGCAGCCCAAGAAGATAAATATATTGTTAAAATGTAATTCATGATTCAGAAGTCGGTTTTCCTGCGGAAGCTCTGTCTCTCTGAATCCAGCGCTGTAAGACTTTCCTGTGATCAGACTTTCAGTAAACTTTGTTGATTTTAAACAGTCCTCTCCTGTCTTCACTTCTCATGCTTCCAACAAAAGAATTGGGTTAATTTCTAACACTGATCACCAAAATCTAATCAGTTCATCCTGAAGTCCAGGTGGACACTTTCCTCAAGCTGTTCCTGAGATATCATGCTCACAAGAATGGGACATATGGACAGGCTACTCCACCTGAGTGCACCTGAAGAGCACCTTCTTTTTCTCTGTCACTGCTCATTTTCAAGGCACATTAAGGCTTCCTGGATTGACTGGAAGTGTTGCATGGAGAGCACAAGGCCTTTTGTTAAAAAGTTTTATTTGGGGGGCGGAGTATTCCATCAAGAATATTTTTACAAAATGTCATAAAATTAAGTGTGTAAATGGATTCATATCTTGTTTTTGCCACACAAAAACATTGAAACGATGTCACACGTCAGCTGTGTTCATATGATCTGTTTTATTTTCCTAATAAAGGCTACAATAATATTTTTATAAAAAGCGTAAAGAATATAAAAGACAAACATAAGATTAGTGTTCAGAAGCAACTGTAAAAACTCAGACGTTTTAACAAAAAGAAAACACAAACATCTTTACTTTATTTACAGCAACAGTCAGTAGCTCTGACATAAAATTTAGGCTCCACCCTCTCACCACCCAGGAAGTGATACTGACCAATCAAGACCCTTGATCAATTTAACACAGTTTTAAAAATTTTCAAGTGATTCTGCATGATTTAAATTAACAAGAGGATTAGAAAATGCCCAGTAAATTCTGATTTTATTCCTAAGAAAAAAATGTTTTGGAATCATTTTCAATGTTTTACTTAAAAAAAAAAAAAGAAGAAAAAGTAATATGCATATTGATAAAACTTTGGAGAAAAAAAATTGAAGCTAAATTATTTCCTCTTTCTCTCCAGGTTGCTCTATTTCAACATACGTTTTACTTTTTTACCTGGCAACATACAAATCGCTGATTGGTCAGAAACATTTCTTGGAATCACTCAAACTAATAAAATGAGGTGAGCGTGGTCTGTGTGATAGTGATTTTTCTGAATAAAGGTTTCAGGTCTAAATTTGCATTTTTCTGATGTCAGGAAACTTTGAGAAACAAAAAGAAAATCAAAAACAAAAGATGAGTTAGTGCTAACATCTGAGTGGACTTAGCAGAATTATTATTAGTGTCTGTTTCCATATTTACTGTAATGACAGGTGGGGGCATGGCTTAATGTCTCAATGTCACCTTTTCATCACAACTGCAGCACCTTGGTGTCATCTTCACATTTTTTAAGCTTATTTTGTGATAAATTTTACCAATGTTTTACCAAGTCAAAGAACCTTTGTTGGTGTTCTGAACATGTTGGGAACTCACCCTTTTCACAATAAATAGAAATATAAAGTTGTAGCAAAATGTATGAGGCTTTTAACAGCAAGTGAGTTTTAGCTGATTTTGGACATTTTTCTGTTGAACTTGAAGCTAAGATCACACTAACTCTTGATTGATTGGCTTAGTCTGAAACAAGAGCGGTCACTGGCTGAGTTACATATCTAACCATGTTACCGGGTCATCGCCAATTATTAAAACGCGAGAAACAATCTGATATGAGATTTGTCAAGATGATGTTAAAGGAGAGTCTCGAAACTTACATACTGCACTGTGCTGCTCTTTTAAAATCATTTTTTGTGGTTTAATTGGAAATTAGCATCTGGTATTTAAACCATGCTAACAGTCATCAGTACTTGTGCAGGATTCAGTGTAACCCAACCACATCTGAACATAACTTCTACATATTTTAACATCATGTCAGTGTCTTCAGAGCAAAAACCTTGCTACCTTCATGCTACGCTATCAGCTGGTACACGGCTTCATTATTGCCATTGCATTTTAAAACTTACTGTTTGAACAACAGGTTCTCGCAGTCCAGTTTTTATTACAAAGACTTTAATCCTGATTTTCATGTGTTTGTAGCTACAACCGTGCTCACACCTGCACAGCATTTCCACCTAACAGTAGTGTTTAATGAAAGAATAACGGACATGCTCAGTTTGTGCTCAGGTTACAAAAACGTGTAAGAGACGAGAAATCAGGTTTTATGGCAGCACATTTCTGGTCATCTTTTAGTGTTTTTAACAAACTTCTAGCACCTTTTTTACATCGTGTTTCTGAACGAGTCCATGACTGCACTGCCTTCACCCGCTGACCACACCCACCTCACAAAAAACAAACAAAAAAAAAACTTCTTTGGTTAGGTGTGTGATGATGTCATCACCTCTTCTTGATGTTGACTAGACTGTGATGATGTCATCACTTCTTTTTGACCGCAACGAGCTCCTGCTGCAGCTCTGAGAACTTTGGTCGATCCTCGGGGTTGTACTGCCAGCAGCGCTGCATCACTTTGTACATGTCATCAGGGCAACGCTGAGGACACGCCATCCTGTAACCTGGAGCCAGGAGGAGAGAAGGGGAGTTCATGTGAGGTGTCCATGGTTACTATTAATCTAACCCCTCTTCGCAGTGCCCCCTGTTGTCTGGGAAATTACTTCATACATGATTTCACCAGTCTCACCATTATCAGCAACTTCGACACTACAAACATGAAATTAGAAATCTAAGTGCATCTGTTGCTTTTCAGTTAAAAATATTTTTACATTTTTATTTCTGAAGTGAACCATGTGTTAAAAAATGTTCATTGCCAATAAATTTTTTTTTTTTTAAATTGCGTTTAATGTCCTACATTCAAGCAGATAAATTTTTGTGTCCTCTTCAGTCTGAACCATTAATGATGGATCCTTGAAGATTACATGTTTCATAATTTAGTGTTAAAAAACAAAACAATTTTGATCTCATAAGGTTTGACTCTGTCATAAATCATTTTTATTAAAGATGCAGTTTGGAGTTTACCTTTCTCCACCTGCTCTCGGGCCTGCTGATTCGTCATCCCCGGATAAGGACACATCCCAAGACTAAATGTTTCCCACAGTAGGATCCCGTAGCTCCACACATCACTCTCTGAGCTGTAACGCCCTGCAACATCCAATCACATGGCAGGACACAGAGTCAGCAGCCAATGACAGCGAGTACACACATTCACAAATATGGCTGTAAATGGATGTGTTAGATAGGTGATTGACAGGTGTGCATCAGGTGTTATACAGATGTCAGGTGTTACCACAGTTCAGGGTAGGGATGCACCAATACCACTTTTTTCAGACCAAGTACTTACATTTGAGTCCTTGCCAATACCGAGAATTGATACCAGTACTTAAGAATAGTCCAGTGTTTATACTACAAAAATTAGATTTACCATAAACTTTAGAGAGTTTCTATTTCCTGAGATTTGCCTTCTGACTGTGATTCAATTATAACAGGAGGTTATGCAAATGTGGGTCACAGAAGAGGATTACATCCCACAACCATTACACAATGGCAAATGGGTCAAGACCCTCTCTGACAGAGAACTCAGACACAGAAAAAGAGGCCTTGGCCAAGGGATTAAACTTTGCAGTCACACCCAAACAAAGGCCTCTGGTCCTCCATTCTAGTTCCTCTGGTGGGAAACACACAACACCACATAAACTCTCAGGATTTCGCCAAGAAAGTCAGACAACTGCAGCTGGACCAGGATGAGACCATGATCTCATATGATGTCACATCCTTGTTCACGTGCATCCCCACCACAGAGGCTGTCAAAGTGATGAAGAAAAGACTGGTCCATCCGAAAGACAAACACCCAGACACAACCGGAGTGATGTAGTGCATGCAATTAAATGTAGCCAGGAGTGTAATGGCCTGTACATTGGGGAAACAAAACAGCTGCTGCACAAACACATGGTTTTATGTGGTTAACAGTGGGCCAACTCCAGAGGACCAGAGTCAGCAGTCCACCTCCACCTGAAGGACAAAGGACATTCTTTTGAGGACAGTGAAATCCAGATCCTCTCCAGAGAACATCGCTGTTTTGAGAGAGGAGTTAAGGAAGCTATTTTTGTAAAAATAGAACACCCCTCACTAAATAGGGGTGGTGGACTAAGACACAACTTGTCATCCATCTACAGTCCTGTTTTGAGATCTCTGCCCAAACATGCGCACCCTAATTCACAGCAGGACAATAGGCGTCGGTCGACAGGTAAGGGTTCAAAGACAGGTAATGACGCTCACTGATACCAGACCCCAACAACTTGGTCATTAACGGACGCTATTGGCCATCAAAGGACTGAAACACCACCCAGAAGGATAAATATCTCCTGCTCAACACCAGTCAAGCAGAACTGATGAAGCTTCTTGGATGAGAGGTGAAATGTCTTCTACCTAAAACTACATCCAGATGCCTTCTGCCAAGTTTTTTTCAGCACTGTAGCCTGCTACATAACAGACTGTAATACAGTGGTTTTCAGACTCTGTAGGAGTGCAGCCTTCTATCAGGATGAAGTTATTTCACAACCCCAACCGGAAAGGCCAGTCTGGCAGCACATAACATCACAGTTGACAATGTAAACAATTAATTTAACGAGGGAACATGTTCGTCCTTTACACTGACTGTGGTCTGTGGCTTCCTCTCTGCTGGATTCACACCTGCTCTGCTGCAGAGGAGCTGCTGGTCTCAGCCTCCACATTCACAAGGACCCAACTCACTGTCTCGCACACACACAGCTCATCAGACTCTGCCGTTAATCACATAAAACCAGCTTCTGTTTTGAAAAATTTGTTACAATCAGCAGAAGGATCACCATGTGGGCTTAGCAGAATGAACAGGACCAATCAGTTTGACCGTGGAGAGGGTGAAGATGTCGCATGTTGTGTTCATCTTGTTCAACAGGTGTTTAATTAGTGACCATCTCTATTACTGTTGGTTTTGTTGCACAGAGTACTGACATCTCTGTAAAATGTTTTGCCTTGTTTATGTACATTTCAAGTAAGCTTTATATGTATATATATATATATATATATATACATACATACATACATACATACACACACACACACAGGGGGGGTGCAAGCCAGAGACTT